TTGTCCAGAAGAATCTGGGGTCCCGACGAATTTCTTGGTAAATTTTCGAACGATTTCTTCTTTCTAGAATCGGTTCCATGTCATGGAAATCGACGAAACAAATAGGAAACAGGTTAAAGAAATTACCCAGAACTCGTTTCGAGTTTAGAGTACGAGGTTTTAAGGTTTCAGGTGCGCACAGTATCACAAGTGCAAGATTTCTAAGCGCCTTTAGGCGACCACAGTAGTCAAAAAGTTAATTTGGGGTGGGGGTGTTGTGACGGCAATATACTATATGGAAGACGTGCCTTACCGTCCTTTTTGAGGATTAAGAAATTATAAATCAAAGACAAGGACTATGGACAGCAATACTTGGAACCAGACCCAACAGACGGGATGCACATACGACTGACCTGTCAAAATGTTAAACAGATATACACATAAATCATAAAACTAAACAATATCAAAGGGAAACTAGGTTCTTGACTGAAAAATTTAATTTTATTGACATTTTCGACTAACATCGTCTTGAGCTAATTTTCTTGCATAAATAATACAGGAAAATCCTATTGAATTGCTACAGCCATTTCAATTCTAATAGGTTTTTGACTGAAAAATTTAATTTTATTGACATTTTCGTCTAACATCGTCTTGAACTAATTTTCTTGCATAAATAATACAGGAAAATCCTATTGAATTGCTACAGCCATTTCAATTCTAATAGGTTTTTGACTGAAAAATTTAATTTTATTGACATTTTCGTCTAACATCGTGTTGAGCTAATTTTCTTGCATAAATAATACAGGAAAATCCTATTCAATTGCTATAGCCATTACAATTCTAATAGTTTCCCTCTCCTAAACCAAAATCCTTCCAAAACTCCTTGTCCAATCTAAAAATTTTATTTTTCCTTCACTCAAAACCGATCACAACCAGTCATCGCGAACCTAGATTAAAATTATGTTTCGAGAATAACAAATATGCTAAGATTAAATCTACGCTATTCGAAAAGGCAGCACGATTAAATTTTAAGTGAAAATACAGGTTTGATTCCGATCTTTCCTTCCCCCCATTTTAGCCAGCGATTTTTCCTCGAGGAAGGATAATTGTTATCAAGAGAGCGGCAAGAGTAGACGCTCGTCAACCCTTTTCCACGCTGTTCTCGTACTAGCCCACGATGTATTCCCTCATTTGTTCCTGCTTCTTTGTTAACGCTAAATCCCTCCTCATTTGAAAGTCTAACTACCTGCAGGCACTCCAGAGCTTTCCAAGGCGTTTCTTGCGTCCTCGCTGAGCAGAACGATCCATCTCACTTTCTGTCCGCCCTTTCGCCTCCTTTTCCCTCGTCCTCCTCTGAATTATGATTTTCACTCATCGCGGTTTATCGTCGTTCCGCTTTTTCCACGGATTCTGTGGTCAGCTTCGAGCAGTCCGCGATGATAGGCGAGTCTAGTTTGCGAAATTGGGCTTTCGAGCGATCCCGAGTGATTTCGAGTCGGAATTCTGTCAAAGACGTTTCACGTAGTGCTTTCTGCTTTTCTGATATATACAGATCCAATGTGGGAACGGATAAAAGAATGGCGAGAGGTTTAAGTTGTTACTCTATTAATTTTGGATTTTTGTGAGCTTTCCTGGACTTTGCTGAACTGTCAAAGTATAATTTTTCAAATATTTACCTGCGGTGCATTTGGGCCCTTCAGAAGAAGGATTTACCAAGCGAACGTTGTACACCCGAGCAGTGAGAGTTATAGACTATCATCGACACTAAACACAGATAAATTTAAACGAAGATTCACTGCAATCCAAAGAACGGAACCGGTATCGAGGAAAATTCGCAGAATTAACCCTCTGCACTCGAAGATTTCTTTGCTTCGAATACATAAAAATTCGAGACATTTCTTACATTTTTCTAAGTCCTATGATGTCTAACTAAATGTTAGAATTAATATTAATTAACCACTCGCGCTAGAAAGACGTGCCACGCACGTCGTAATTCTTTTGTCGCAGAAACATTGTACCATTCTGGCACACGCGTCTGTGAATTTATTGGTAGCACAAGTGGTTAAATTTATAATAACTAAAATGGAAAAGAAAAAAATTGTCTCTATATCATATCGATATTTCATATATAATTACTTCTAAATCTCGTCACATATAATTGTAGACACATGGGTGGTTGTTAAATAATATAAAACTATTTATTAGCCATAAAATAATACACAATATGCGGTGACGGTAAAAACTACGAATATAGATAGGTATATTTCAACTAAACTCTTACGACTACGACACAATTATACCTAACAACACGATAACAACTCATAACACGACTACAACCAACTCTCCAGCACTGTCTCCCAAGAAGAAGCGTCTATCAAGAATCCTCCCTCACGAATCCTCTCTCAACCATTTCTGCCTTCCTTATATATTTCCTAAAAAGCCTCCCCCAACACGACCAAATATGGTCATGCTAAGGGCCTGACGCATCGCAGGGGTCTTTCCGAATGACCTGGCCCTCGAACCCTCGGTGACTTTCCAAACCAAAGTCACCTACACGCGATGTGGGCATTCTGCGATACTGCATAATTATTTCTAAATCTCGAGTGCAAAGGGTTGCAGGTCTCTGTAGAAACCTGGCCAATTCACAGAAAATAAAAATGACAGACAAGCTTTTTACACTCAAATGCATATACTCAAACGTAATCGCACTGACATACACATTGGTAGTGGGATTTTCCTAAAAACGATTTTCCACGATTTCCATTGCGATTCGTCTAACTCGCGTTGCCAGAGGAAACTGGTAGCGTCGTCGTTTCCTCCTTCACCCCGCGCGCTTCCGGTTTCGTTGGTTCTAACGGGCGTTTCGCGTGGCCACGCGGTCGTTTCCGTTCCGTCGATCGAGCCAGACGCTTTTATAACAAGCCTTTCATACGAAACGACGGAAAAACGAAGGCAGAGGTGCACCGGGGTGGAACGGAAAACGCGGCGAATTAATACGTTTGATACGGGCTATTTCACTTCCGATTGCGCGAACGCTGATTGATTTAAAGCGATCTTGCCCTCGGCCGACGTTCCCGTGCCCGCCATCGCGCTACCCCGTCAGATTTAATTACACGGAAACGCGTTTCCATCGGGGAAAACCAATGAAAGAATCCGTCTTTTGTTGACGGATTTTTGTTCCGTTTGTGCAAGAATTTTCACCGCGCTTTGAAGAGCCAACGATGTTTACGTGACGGGAAAAATTGGGAGAAAGCAATATATCTAATAAAACTGACAATTCGCGGGAAAAATTGACGAAATCGTTAATCGATATCAGAAACTGTTCGGAGTGTCAAAGAAAACCAACATCGAGGTACCAAAACGGCGAAAGCTCGATCAAAGTTCTATCGTCGTTTGCTACACAGAATTGTTTATTCCCTTGTGCGAAGTTAGGCCACGGTTCTCGGTGTCCAGCGTGATTTGCCACTTCAAAGAGACACCATTTCATTGAACCTAGCGCTGGAACTGCGTCACCAAAGTTCGCGCGAATCGTACAGGGTGTCGCTAAAATTTCCACTAACGGGAAAACATACGGACTGGAATAGGGAGTCCAGGTTTCAAACTGGAGTCAATATACTGCCAACTAACTACTGTCAACGGATCTATCCGCTTTGCGACTGACAGCTGCGTTTAAGAATTTTTATGGTAACCGAGATACACGTTAACGCTGCGATCTCTGAACTCGGGCGCCATGTTCTCCCGCGAGAAGCGATAAAAATCCATGGCAGTACCCGAATAAACGTAAAATGCAGTAAATCGGCGAAGGAATAGTCGAAGATTAATTAATTAGGCAGAATAGCCATGGTACACGCTGTTGGGGACATAAGTGTCATATTGACAATAGGCATTTGACTAAAGGCAAAGTGGAGGAGGTGGTAATGTTTAAGGGTACATCGTGCCCAACCCCCTTTTGGTACAAGACAGCTAAGAGGGGCTGTTACCTCTTAATAAAATAACGATTCGGTCCATATCTGACCTAGGCATATTCTTACATATATGCTGGATACGAAAGGAACGTCGTTATTAGATTTTATTTTGTCGTGCCAAACGTGGGAGTATTGGCACTTCGGAAGTCTGCCATTGATATTAAAGAACTATGCCACAGGACTAGCGAAGCTGCGAAGTAAACGGGACTAAAACCGCTTGTCCCCGGTTCCCTCCGCTTCACCTACCGGTTTTTCGATCATTCGCCGGTTAACGATCGAGTTTATGCGCTCGAATCGCGAAATTCCGCGTTGGTTGTGCGTCCTTGTGGGAAAAATCAACGCGATTCCCGCGGTACTCGCGGGGAAGCATGCAGATCGGCGGGTTTCGGCACTGCTGGAGCGCGAGCCTCGCAGGAAATTGACTCGTGCCTAACGAACCGAGAAGGCTCGCGGAGTTCCGTCAAAATGGCCTCCACGCGCAACCAAACGCTCCCCCCTGATACCTGTTCCGTCGATTAGAGCCTTCGAACTGCAGCTGGACGTGACGTCCGCTCGTAAAAACCGCGAAACGAAACGGAAATCTGCGTCTATCCGTTGCAGATGATGCTCCCCGTTTCGACAGCGTGAAATTGGCTAAGAAATGCAACGTTTTGAGAGAGAAACTCGCGACTAGACCAAGTATTTCGTGCAACTTCGATGGCAAATTACACAGCTGCGTCCGCGAACAGGTAATTATTTCTTGGTAGAGAGTAATGGGTTTTTAAATTGTCGGTAACTAGACGATTCGCGGAAGACTGTGCACAGTGTGCACGCGGAGTTTATCGCAAAGCAGCGTTCTTACTAGAAACGAAAAATCGTTTTGCTACTTAGCACATATCCTTCCCACTGACCATTCGCACAAAAGAATCCCACTTAAACCCGAGAATCTTAATTAATATTGAATCGGTGGCTATGCCAAGTATCACGCGCGACTCCGCGACAGAAGGAGCCGATCCTTCCCGTGAACGGGATCTACGGTAATTCGAAGTAAAATAAATTTGAAACATCTTCACTCACCTCGGAGGATCTGGTACAGGAAGACCTTGATATGATCGGGACTGAGATGCTGAGGGCTGACGATGATCTTGTGCAGGTCGCTCTGAAGCAGCTCCGTGATCACGTATCTGTGCGGTTGCTCGTTAAGGAATTTATGAACAATCATCGAATGTTAACTGAAATTAAAGCTCGTCGAACGAACGAGCCTCGATTACCCGCTGATTCTCTCACGGCGTCGTTTACACGACTCCAGACGACTCGCGATAAAACGAACCAACGAATATTAACTCCCTATGTTCCCAGTTCGATAAAACCAGCTCGAACTATCGAAGCTAATCGCGAGGGTACACGCGCGGGAATCAATTCGAACGACTCGCCCGAGACCGGTCCCCTTTCCCGGCTTTCCTCCTCCTTTTTCCCCTCTTCGCGCAATCGAGGAAACGCTCGTCGCGCTTGTTACAGGCAGACGCCCGATACGGGCTGATAATAGCGCGAACATGCGAGGTAATTGAAGTTAAAGCTGGATTACACGGGTGGATGGATTATTATAGAATCGTTGACAGATAGGGGAGGATAAGATGGAAACGGCAGATACCGCTCGTTTATTTGGGAACAAGCTTCGGATTAGATTCGCGCAACGCGTTTATCCACTTTGTACGGCAGGACTCCTCGCTCGGGGTGTTTTTGCGCGTCGAGTTATCTCGGGGCTCGTTAGGGGTCGGGGTATCGCGATTTTTCTGCGCGTCGGTCAAGCATGATTATAAAATACCCGTGAAGGTATTTCGATGCGCATAATTAATACTCTGGAATTTTTCTAAACCACGCAATCTATCGGAGAACAGAATCTATAGGCTGGCTGGCTCGATAAAAGCGTCACCTGTTGATGCCAACGACAGACACAGTAGAAACTACTCTCTGGGCCAACCCACGCGAATCTTCTGGTTTCTAGGAGCACGTAAAAATCGCAATGGCGGAAACCGGAGTAAAACACGAGGGAGGAAGAAGAGGAGAGGGGAGAGGGAAGGAAACGGGGAGGAAAGTAATCTATGCGCGAAAAATAAAATGACAACGTGGATCAAGATCCAGGGATCGATCGGGGGCCGTGTCTGCAGGACGAAAACCTTGGCAATCAGGCGACTCTCGTTCCCGATCCGTCGGCTTAATGGATTCCTTCGCCGGCCTCGAACAAGTTAATCCGTCGAAATGAAGGGAAAAAAGGAGAAACGGGGGGAAAGGAGGGGAATAGAGAAGAGAGAGAGAGAGGAGAATCGAGCCCGATGACGTCGAGCCGTGACGAAAGTAGCTGGCCTTAATAAACCCGCCGGGGTAATTTACAGCGCTTGGCCCCGGCTTCACGGGGTGAAACTTCTTCGGGAAGTTAAGCCGCGGACAATGGCGGACGGAAGCCCGCGCTACCAGAAGCATCCACTCGTGTTAATGGAACTGCGCATAAAAGTCGCGGCCCACGCTCGCTTCGTTCGATTAATCGTGTCCACGTTCGGTTAACGGAATTCGGCGTTCCGGGGGTGCCACGTAGAGGGTGCACACCGTTGGGAGAGGAAGTGGAAGTGGCAGGGGAGTTGCTCGGGTCTCCTTCCAGCGATCCCACAGAGCACAATCGGCCATCGAATTATGAGAAACCGGGGGTGTTAAACTTCCTGACCGTCGGTTCTGATAAAAATCAGGACGCAGGGGAGGGGGAAAGATGGCAACCGTGACAAATGCGATCATGGGAGAAGAAAATGGATCAATTAAGAAATTGATTCGATAGTATTCGATACGATTCGAGACTTGGTGCATCGTCTTGGTTAACCACTTTGGTACGAGCGACGACTATAGTCGATAGCCAAAAATGAACACAAACAGCCGAGCGACGACCTAACCTAACCAGCCGACGATGAAGAACTTTTACTTTGGTTCTACAGTTCAGCTAGTAAGTTACCCTGATCAATGACCCTTTTTACAAGCCCTTAGTGGGAGTTATTACAGTACGGTTTTGATTCGAAGGGATTATCGTAGGCGGGATTAAGCAATCGAAGGCAGGGTATCCGATTTTACTAGCAGTTATTTTATCGTTCTCGAAAAATGAAGACTCTCGTCGCTGACTGACCGTCCGCGAGTCATGGGGGGTGGTCGTAAATAAATAAACCAGGCCCCGTTGACTCGGGACCCTCGTTGTCGCTGTGCATCGAAAAGTGTCTTTTCCTCTGTAGGGATACGTCCCTATAGATTCATGTAAGTAATAATATAATAAACCTATTTCCCAGATTTTTCGTTTTCTATTTCTTATGTTACGTTTTAATTTTTATAACTCCTAGACCTATACTAAATTAAAACAATAATTCTGAATTAAATTTTCTAATTTCTCATTTATCAAAATAAAATTGTGAACATTTGGAAATATCGTAATAAAAACATATGCTCTGCTGATTTGCATTACAAGTAAAGCTGCCTGTAACGCAAACAAGCTTTCAGGGCTTCGAAGATTTCCTCATCATAAATTTGTAAAAGAGCAAAACGGATTCGTCGTCGATACACGGTATGATGTGTCACGCGTGCACTATGGCTGCGGACAAGGTTTCGAGGCCGGTAAGCGCCGTACCGAAGTGGTTAAAACGATTGCACCAAGTGTCTTCTTATCCAAGGAAAAGAAACACGCGTTAATCCCGCGTCGAAATTGCCGAATGGACCTCGCCAGCTTTCATACACGATGAAACAGGGACCAATTTTCATTTCACACTGTTCAGCATTCGTCTCGCGTTGTTCCAGGGCAATTTCTCGGAATTCGTTTCACGCGGTTCCCCGAAAAATCTTAAACACCGTGTGGCAACGGCGTATCGGCCGGAGAAACGGGTGAAAGCCGCGCGATTAATCCGAGTGGCACACTGGTCGGGCTAAAAAGTCACGATATATCTTGGGGAAAAACAGCGGCCGTAAAGTTCGGCAATTACCAGAGTCACGGTAATCACAAGCACCCCTTGTCCGCAAGAAACTTATCGACCCCCTGCCGCAGCTCCTCTCCACGGTAATTTCGCGATAGAAAGAGAAATAAAGGGCGGCTCGATCGACGAGCCACGCCACGAAGAAAGGGTGGCAGCGGAGGACCAAGTTTCGCGATAAAAAGCACTGCGAAAGTTTTTGCGCCACCCGAACGATGGCCGCGTGCTCGGCTGGGCCGGAAGCGAAGGGGTGGCTGCATCCAACCGGGCCATCGCGACAGCCTCTTCCTCCGTTTCCGCTATAAATCCAACCTCTCCACCCTCTCTCCATCGATTCCATCTCGTTCAAGTTACCCTTTCTTTCCGATGTCGTGCTCGGCTTTCGAGTATTTCGAAGTGCGAGGATCGAAATGTTACTAGTATACTACATTCCCTACCCTAACCATGACCCGATCTAATTCTCAATAAAGGCTTGCAAATCCTCCATAAATAGACAGACATCCTTCGCATCCTTCTGAACCTTTACCTCCGGTACACCATTCCCTATATTCACCCCTGAAGACAGAATACAACATTTGAATCCCAAGCAGCGCCATCGCGCTCTTCAGATTTTGTATCCAAAAATCCCAGTACATTTCCAGCGCTATGGATAACTGACGAATGCTATCATTGACTATCGAAGTGGCGCTGATGCAACTTTATTGATGCACGTACGTCACACAGCATCAACTACTGTTCGCTTTCTTTGTCACATGGTGCTCTATGACCGGGCTAATAGGAAGGGACCAGTTCTACCAATAAGAGAAGCGTTTTACTCTACTTCTGCCATGATGTTAGAATGATTGGGTTGGTGGGGATTCGGTCCTACAAGTTTCTCAGATGACTTCTTTCGACATAAAATTAATTTTTCGAAAGCCACGCCAGAGTCCTGTGTGATTTAGCAGAGGTCTAAACACTCGAGAAACCACGTCGGATTCGCGATAGAGGAGTAGGTTAATGCGCTGCTTGAAGTGTCTTGGTCAATAGCACGTTTCAAAGGTATACTCCGGTAGTCGGAGAAGACATAGATTAAGAAGGAATGAAATTAGCCTGATAGAAAGGTACAGGAAATCGGCTGTGGACAAACGGTGTGTCTAGGGATTAAAGCACGCACACGATGAAACCAGTAATATCTCCTGGATTATTTGCCTATTCCCGCGATATTTTATACATCTCTATAATTGCTTACATTATACCGACATTTATTCCAACGTCGATATTACCATAATTCTCTTCCTGGTCTCCGCTATGAAATATTAAAACCTTTACCTACGAAATAAGGTACCGATCAGACCTTATCTCCTGTGACGACTATTCCGACTCGAGAAGCCAATTACTCTACCCATTCTGCCTGTTTATACGATAAGTATGCGTCTTCCTTTCCAAAATCCTTCGCTATACTCGCTCCCTCGGCCGCCATACTCGCGATTCATCCTCGATCCAGACGTGTCCTTCGAAATTTCGCTTCTATTTACCCATCTCGCGAGTACAGCGGGACGCAGAGACACGGAGAAGATATGTAATATATATAGAGGCACATGCAAGTACATAGAGAGAGAAAGAGAGAAGGCCAGAGGAGAATGAAATAGTATAATGGCGGAATGAGGTCGACTGGTAGGTTGGAATGCAGGTAGAGGCTGGCTGCGAACCTGGCGTGGTATGCAAGTCGACTGGTCCGGCTGGCTTCGGCCTGGAACACCTAAGCGCAGCCTTTGCCGACGTTCCACGCTTTCGAGCTGTCTCTCTTTTGAAATACGATCGATGGCCCGCTTCGTACGCGATATTTCCAAGTACCAGACGCGTCCACGAGGAGCCACGCTCACGGGCGACCGGATATTTTCGCGAGAATCGAGAGGTGCACGCTGCTCGAGGTCGCGGTGCCAGCGGTAACTCGCGGCAACCTGTTTCGAGATGCGAGGAAAGATCGATCGACTCGTTCCTTGACAGTGGGCGAACCGATCATGGGGAATTTCGGCCACGGGAAATGGCAATCGGCGAGCTACCACATCTGATGCTGGTCGTATCGTGGATCAACCGAATTTTCGAGGAAAGTCCATACCGATCACGCTGTCCAACAAATTTTCGAAGCCTAACTTTTTTTCTAATTCGTAATATTCGTTAGGTGATTATTCTCGCGAAGCATACCTTTA